CTAGATGACTCCGTGGGAGGAGAGCGTAGGGGGGTTTCTCCAATGAGAAGCTAAACATTCAAACTGAAAAAAAACGCGTTGTACTCACTGGTCTCACAGGTCCTCTACATATCACCTCTCCCTGTCCCCTCCATAAACCACAAGGTAGCTTCATCCATAGCTCGCCCGCCGCTCGGGGTGCCCACCGGGTTCACGCGCGCCTGTTAAAACTCTCCTCCTTCCAGCTTTGTTTATGTTGTCTCCCACTTTCATTGAAGGAAATTAAAGGGGAGATATGTAAAATAATAATTTTGACAATTAGGGGTGAACATTAGTTTAAACAATGAAAATTTGTTTTTGTAATATTTGTAAGAATTATTTTGTGAAACGCCCATGGGAGGGGCTTGGGGCTTAAGAGGAGAGCTGTTTGGGCTGTACAGGGAGTCTGGCTGGTTGACCAGAGGGTTTTTCACACTTTTTGTAAATAGCACTTATGGAAGTTGGGAATAAATTGAACAAACGTGTTTTTTTGACTGGCCATTGGTTTTTGTGATTAGTTCCCACAACAGAGGGAAACATACTGCAGACAAAGCTGGCACTGTTGAGGAAGAAGTTAAACCTGCTTCAAGTAAACATAACATAACAAAAATAACAATGGATTGTTGATGATTGATTAAGATTAATTTAACATTTCCTTTTCAGAAGGAGTTGACCTCTGAGATAGTATTGTTAGAGATCAACTGTTTTGGAACATGAAGGCAACATTAAAGATTAAAGAAAGATTAACAGGAAACATGGGGGATTTCCTGGTGATACAATCCATAAAAGGTATTGTTTATGAGACCTTCTGACTTCTAAATTATTATCAGTAGTGACACAGCATCAATAAGCACTACTTATAAACGCTATCTGTTTTGTCTGCCTTCTATTTCTTTATACTTATGTTATGGTTTTATGTATTTATGCACAATAAACGTATCTGCTGTTGAGTCGACACTTTGTTGTGATGGCTTTGGCATATTGTTGATTTTACAGTTGATTTTGGTCTGTTTTGTTATCTTTGAGGGTCAAGAGAGACAAATAACATGAACTATTGTTAGAACTATTACTAGTATGCTTAAATTACGATGACAATTACGATTATCATTATGATTATTATAATTACTGTAAAAGGGCAGTCACAAAAAGGCATTTATTTTATTATATATCTTTGTGACATACTGTTTTATATGTTCAGTTTATACTAACAGAGGGTAAGAATGTTTATTCGTTTTGTTATTAATGTTTTTCATACATTGAGAAACAAAAAATTGCATTGATTTATAGTTTTTATCATTGTTGTATATCTTTTTTTTCTGACGTGTGAGAGCAGCAGTGTAGTTACAAGTTAATTGCCCATTGGAAATGATTTACGTTTTCTGAATCCGGTACCTTTTCAAGGCACTCAAAGCACTTCACATCGGTGAACCAATCACCCACTATCACAAACATTCACACGCCACTGAACAATGAGTCTAAGTGTCTTGCCCAAGGACACACAGAAGCACCAGCACAATGGGAGTTGGTTTCACACCGTTTCTGACAAATCAAACAATGTTTATGTCAGAAGCAGGATTCAAACCACCATCCTTCAGTTCAGAGGATGCCTGCTCTACCAGCTCGAAGTAAAAAGGTTTCAAGTAAGTAAACAGTGTTTATTTATATGGCACCTTTCACAGACTAGAGTCACAAAGTGCTTTACAATTGTGGGCATTTGTCTCTCACTCCACACAGAGATGGGTGTTTGGTCGCCACTACAGGAGGCACTTGTCAAACCTATTGTACATGTTTTTAGTGGTAGATTAACCGGAGCACTCGGAGGAAACCTACGCAGACATGGGGAGAACATGCAAACTCCACTCAGAAAGACCCTGTTCTGACTAGGTAATATTGTTTTTGATTCTTGTTTATTGTTTACCATACTAATCTGATATTGTATTGACATGCCCCTCCTTTACAGAACCATGGCAACAACTACAAACAAATGTGGGACCAGTTTGAAGATTTATACACTAAAGCTCACCTTATCACAAACGTGCATGGCAAGAACCAGCGTCATGAAGCCAGTGGAAGGATAAGGTCCCGTCTTGTGGAGCCAGGACGTGTGAACGTACTTCATGAAGACCGGATTGACCACCATCACCTGTTTCCAACCATGAAAGGCGGGTTTGAGTTGTGTTTTAAGGAATGTGTTCTCTTCGGAAAGCAATGTGAAGTCTTACCAGGTCTTTGTTACCCTTGATATATTTTTTTACTGGTGCATATGATCTGAAAATGTAAAAGGTTTGGGAGTTACTGGATCAAAATCATCCCAACATTTGGAACTATTTATACGCTTGGTACAGTGAACTTATTATTTTAATTATTTATTTGTTTGGAGGATAAGCCCCTAGAGATGAAACATCTCGTTTTCGAGGGGGTCCTCAAAATTGCACAAAATGACAGATTCAGTAAGGCAGACAGTAGAACAAACAATATTACAGAATTCACAGAAAATAATACAAACACAAAAGACAAAGGACACACATACACACACACACTGGTTGTTGTGAACAGATTGTCTATTTGCCCAAGTGTTTTTTTTTTTTTTTTAAATAATCCCCCAATTATGATCTATGGCGGATTGTGTAAACTCAAAGCTAGGTGTGTAAAATTTGAGTTTGGCCTACCGTCCCTCAAAGCCAGTGGTGAAGGCATCCATGATCCATCTGAGATCCATGACTTTGAATGGAAACAGAATCAGATGAGTGGTGTTGTCCAGGTCCACGCCGCTCTCTGGATACATGACTCGATGTGTTGTCCTGGTCCCAACGTCTGCCTCAAAACCTGCAGTTTGATTCATTCATTCATTCTTTGTTCATTCTGTACCGAGATACAGGACCCAAAACCAGGGCTTATTTAGTTCATACACACAGAGACGGGACAAAAATACTGGAGCCAAAGGAGTATTGCATGAAAACAACCGATCAAAACCGGTGACCATACATTAAAAGACAAGAATTAGGTTCACATTTTAAGGGAAATAAATGTTTTTTTCATCCAACTCCTTTTCAAACTGGATTCCCGTATCTTCTACTATACTTACTTCTTATTGTTTTGTTTATTTGGATGGGACAATACATATTCATGAACAGCAACATCTGTAACTACATCAGATTGTAGCTATTTTGTTCATTTGCATCTGTAGACCCACAGTCACACTCACATGTGTTTAGTGGTAGGAGAAACCGGAGCACCTGGAGGAAACTTACAGACAGGGGGAGAACATGCAGAATGGTTTTGGAGGTGGAATTGCTGTAATAATTAAATCATTCTTTCTATTACTACGACTACGAGTATGACTATGACTACTACTAACCTATGTCATTACTACCACCACCACCTCACATACCAATACGATTACTTCTACTACTATTACAAAACTACTACTACCTCTACTAACTACAATACATCTACTACAACTTTTTTAAATTATTTATTTATTTTATATATTTGACAAGGACAATGTACTACCACCACCACCACTACTACTACTACTATTACTTCTACAGCTGCTTCCACTCCTCCAACTCTACTACTACTATTACTACTAGTACTTATACTACTCTCTACTACTACTACTACTACAACAATCAGAAATATCTGATCTTTTCCCCTGTAAATGACTGTAAATGTAGTTCACCCTTATGTACGTTTGCATGTGGATTAAGCTGTTTTGCAGTTGTACATTGTGAATAACGATAATGTCTTGTGATGGATGATCATGATTTCAATTTCCTCTTCCTCTTTTATCGTAGCCAAACAAATGGTTGTTTTGTCCTACTGTACATACTCCTCTTTAAACTGTAATTCTGTATCTTCTACTGCTCCTACATTTACTACTAGGAGTACTACCACTATTTTGATTTTCTGTTACTACTTCTAATACAACAACTACTACTACTATTACAACTACTACTACTGCTTCCAATCCTCCAACTCTACTACTACTACTAGCAGTACTTATAATACTCTCTCCTACTACTCCAACTGAACTAATACCACAACAGTATCCTAATTCCTTGTGTAACTTTTCATGTTAGTCTTTAAATGAGAGATTTCAACATTAAGTTTGCTCCGACTGAACAGCTGAAAGATTTCTGTGTACGACAATATGATTAATATTATATGTGAAACAAATAATATAATATTTGGTTGACATTTAAGTAGTATTACGTAAAACAAACAATATTTTCCTCTGTAAATGTAGTTCACCCTGACGTACATTTGCATGTGGAAAAAGCTGTTTTGCAGTTGGACATTGTAAATAACGATAATATCTTGTGATCCTATCTTCTTCCTCCTTTATAGCAGCCAAAAAAATGATTGTTTTGTCCTACATACTGCTTTTCAAACTGTATCTTCTACTGCTCCTACATTTGCCACTATTATTCTTTATGTTTTTATTTATTTGCTATTACGAATGGGTCAATGTGTATTCATGACTAGCAGGAGCTATAAATACATTATAGTGTATTAGCTACGTATCTAATTTGCTTCTTAGCTAATCACTAGTAGTAAATTAAGTAGTCGTAGTAATAGTATTAGTAGATATGTAGATAACTATACATCTATCTTCTACTAATACTACCACTACCACCATCACTACCACCACCACCACCACCACCACCTCTAGTACTACAATTCCCCTTCGGGACAGATATATATACCAACCTGCCTGTGAAGGGCAGGGGACCTCGTTCACCCCGTCCTTGTTAAATAGAGTAAATATATCAGTGAAATTATCAAAAAGTACAAGTATTGCTCACATACTTGTGCACTTTGCTTATACTCTTTGCCTTCGTAAATCTATTCATGTTTTTTTTACTTGTATTACATTTCACTTGACAGGTTTAATTTGATAACAAATATATAAAACTTGCTCCAAAAGTACAGTACTAGCAACGGAGCTATCCCTTCAGAAATGTGTGCGGTTTGGAAGATTACCTTATTACAAACTGATGAGCATCTATACGAGGTCCGTTGTGAGATCCCTTCAGATTCCCGGAGTTGCCCACCACTGCACAGGTGAGACAGCGGTCGGGGTGGGTTTCAGGCATGTCAGGTTTGGCTGAGAAGAGCTTCAAGAGGCGTTCTTTTACTTCCTTGAATTTATTTAAGTCACCCTTCTCGTGCTGGAGTACCTTGTGGATAGAAAGCATCAATTTTAGCCATTCCAATACAAAAAAGGTGATATCAGTGGTTATTTCAGGTCACGGATTACTTGCAATAACTAAACAATAACAGTTGGGACGATTTTATTGACCGTCTGGAAAGTTTCGCAAAGTATCACATACACTGCAATACATGAGCTGCTTGAGAATTGTATTTGTCCAATACTAGGGAATTTTCAGTGTTGCACACAAGTTAATGAACAGTAGGAATGAGGAGCAAACAGACACAAGTGAATATTAAGTAAGTTATAGAACAAGATGGCCGTGCCTGTCTGTACATGACCAAGATGGCGGGTGCTGGTTGTTTGGAGCCTTTAAAGAGTTATTTGTAAAAACCCATGTTGTTATCACTTGTTTTTATCAAGACAATCAATTGGATTACGCACCTTTTAACAGCTGTACCCTTAAAGGATTACAGTCACTCTCCCTCTGACTTTTTATTCACGTCTGAAGCTGCCGGTAGCAAGTTGGCTAACCTCCATACACCATAACCATGGACACAGCACTTCCTCCTGATAATATCTACAAAAAAATTTACAAGTAACAACACAACAAGTTTGTCCTGCTCCATAATCAAAAGACCAGTACACGCCATGTCACCCGAAGAACAGCAACTGACTGTCAAGTACCTCTCTATTGAACTCTAACCCAAAGAATCACTCCCAGAACACTTCATGGACATAGCATTTCAACGCCTCTCACTCACGGTACACCACGACACTGTTCTCTGGCACCCTATAATCTGCCCGAACCCCTGATCCTGTTCAACCCCACCCCACAGCAATACGTCATCATGGATTGTGGTCCGACAAAATAATCCGCTCGCTCCTGGGCCGAGCTTGGCCTCCAGCGCTCTGTCCGGTTCTGGATCTTTTGCCGCCTTGTGCTGTCCCAGAGCCAACGTGTACCCAGCTGTCCTGTCCCAGACCATCATCCCCAGAGCCACAGCAGCCTGGAGCAGAGGGCGCGAGACCGCAGAGCGTCCCTGTCCACCCGCTGCAACGCTAGGACTTTTAGACATCAGATCCATCGACAAGAAATCCTTCATCTGTCATGACTTTGCTTAATTTGAACACTTGTCCTTTATTATTTCATGTAAAATTCTTGTGTTTGTTTTAATTATTTATAGAGCCCCTAAACCCAACTTTGTTCTTATTCAAGAAGTCTCGGACCTTATATCCCAGTCTATGGCCCTCCACTACAAAGTTCTAATCTTAGGTGATTTTAATATTCATGTCCTCTGCCCCCTTTAACCTCTGATTTTATTGATTTATTTGAATCTTTTAATCTCCTATTAGTAACCGTTCCCACACATTCTAAGGGCCATACACGGGATCTGGTTTTAACGTTTGGTCTCAGGATGGGAAATGTCACCACCAAGGATATCTGCGTGTCGGACCACTTAGATATTTTATTTACCGTTATTTTATCCCACCGGTCTGCCTCCAACGGGTCATTTTATCACTCTCATGTTTTTAACTCCTCCTCTGCTCTTACATTTTCACAACTTAGTGCCGCAGCTTCCTTGACTACTTTACTACTTTTAACCAAAATGTTAACCTGGAGGGGCAGGTCTCCTCCTTCTATCAATAATCCCATAAGACTTTAAACAACATTGCACATTGCAGACAATATGAACAAAAATGGAAAAAGACACACCTCACAGTATTTCACCTCGCCTGGAAAGACAGCCCCAAACAATACCATTCCATCTATTCAAATGCCATCAGTCACAGTTCTGTTTTTTTTAAGTTTTAAACTCCATTACTTGACATGATATCTATGTGCAAATACCTGCTCCTAGCCAAGCCATTCAAGTAAATAGAGAAACTCTGGATTAAAATTGTTTTACAAATTGTTTGCCATTATCAATTCATGCTCCACAGCATAAAACCATAATGAAAAGAACCCTGAATGATAAATCAATCACAAGATTCAAAGAACTAGTACAGCCGATGTTGAATACTGCTGCAGGTGAACCTGCCCACAGCTGCTGCCGTCCTTCAGTCATTTACCGAACTGTGGACTACACTATGGAGTCTTTCAAATCTGCATTAAATGCAGCAGCTCCTATAAAACAGAAAACTATTAGGATTCTATCATCGTTGCCATGGCACAGTGGTGTCCAACTGCATACTTTAAAACAGGACGTCAGAAAATTGGAGAGGCTATATCGCCACTCCCACTCGGAGCCTGCCCACAGGGAGTGGAGAGCAGGTCTCCGAAACTGCAAGAATGCTCTTCGTAGGGCTCAAACTCAATACTATTCAACTTTAATAGAAGCGAATAAAAACAACCGTAGATTTTTGTTTAGCACCGTCGCTAAACTCAATAACTGCCATAACGCAATCGAGCCTAAAATTCCAAGCTCACTGAGCAGTGTCGACTTTCTTCACTTCTTTATTGATAAAATTACATCCATCCGTGACAAACTGGAGGAATCAGAATCAGAATCAGAATCAGAATCAGAATCATTTTTATTGCCAACGTAAGTAACGGGAGGTCACAGACTTGGAAATTGCTTTGGCTCAGTGCAACAGTGAGGAAACCACTCCTTGTGTTGGTGATGGACAGGCTGAAGCGTTGCACTTGATTTCCCACCTGGATTCTTCAGTGTGCCTCGACAAGTTGAGCCAAGAGGAAGTGATCTCTGTGGTCGCATCTTCCAAAGCCTCAACTTGCTTGGCTGGTTTAAATCCTATTTATCGGATCGGTATCACATTGTCAATGTGAATCAAAACTCGTCACCTTACTCTAGAGTGGAATTCGGTGTGCCCCAGGATCGGTGCTCGGACCGATTCTTTTCACACTCTATATGCTGCCGCTAGGAAACATCATTAAAAAGCATGGAAAAAGCATTGACGAAGAACTCTCCTTTAAGGCTTATTTAAAGGACAACTCACCCTCAAGTCCACTTTTTTTTGCTGATAAACGGTATAAATGAGTGTCCAATAGTGTTGTCTACATATCCTGGTCATAATCTTGTCACTTTGGTGCAAATTAGTTGAAAGTTAGACTTTCTGCCTAAAACCGTCTGTGAGGCGCCATCTGCTGGCGACCTGTATTACTACATTTGAATTTTGAATCTGGCGCCAACACTGGCACAGAAGTTGGACCTGACGTCTGCAAGTTGGACCTGACGTCAGCAGCCCCCCGCCCAGAGCAATGTAAACGGCCCAGTCTCGTTCACGCCCCCTTCAGTCCTCCAGGCTACGCCCATTTAGAGGAAGATTTGAACAGGAAATGTGAGTAACGTAAGCTCCGAGGAGCGGGGGTGAGAACCACTTTAAACCGAGCAACTAAAACGGCATATTTCCACTTGCGGAACATCGCTAAAATCAGGAATATTCTTTCTAAAAGTGACGCGGAAAAACTAATCCACGCCTTTGTCACCTCAAGACTTGACTACTGTAACGCTCTGCTGGCAGCGTGCCCAAAAACCTTTTTGAAGAGCTTCCACCTTGTTCAAAATACAGCAGCAAGGATCTTAACAGGTACCAACAGGAGGGAACACATAACTCCGGTGTTAAATCACTCCACTGGCTTAATGTGGAGTACAGAATAAAGTTTAAAATTCTTCTTCTGGCATACAAAGCCATAAATGGCTTGGCTCCCTCTTATCTTCAAGACATGTTAACGTCTTATCAACCAAGCCGAGCGCTGCGCTCGAAAAACGCCAGACGTCTGGTTTCAAAAATCACTGTTGGCGGCAGAGCATTTAGTTACCAAGCTCCTCTACTGTGGAATCAGCTCCCCACCCACGTTAAGGAAGCAGACACTGTCTCTACGTTTAAGGCCAGGCTTAAAGCACTCTTCTTCAATTTAGCATTTGGCTAAGGTCCGCTGCATCTTCAACCCTACGCTTTAGGCTAGGCTAGGCTAAAGCAGTTCTTTTAGTTTAGTATATAGTTAGGAAGGTAAGACTCAGGGAAGGCTATATACCTTAGACTAGTCAAGCTGCATAGGGAGTCAGCACTATCCTCTCCTCCTTCTTACTTTATCTGTTTTGCATTATTAGGATTTTGACTGTAGTTTGTTCATTGCTATTCACCCGTTGTCCCATTGTCTGTTTCATGGTACGACGACGGGACTTCTGAGCCTGGCCTTCTCCATCTACACCTGCGGACTGCCCCGCCCGACCCGCCTGGGAGTGCATCAGTCCTGCACCGGACCTGTCCACGCTCAGAGGCCGCTGGTCCACGTTCTGTAGCTTAGGTCCTGGATCATTAGCCTGTCCGTCCGTGGGAGCCGATCCCTTTCTCAAACTGTAAAAAAAAAGGGTCTCCCTGAGGTTTCTCACTTTTTTCCCACTGGGTTTTTCTTATGAGTTTTTCCTTGCCAATGCAGGAGGTTCGGTTGGGCAGTTAGTGTCCAACTAGAAGGACTGTGGTGATGATCCAGGACACTTTAACATTCTACAAAATTTATAGACATGTGTTCTATATTTTTTATGTGTTTTAGCTGTTGATTCTCTGATCTGTGTTGGTGATTTCAATGGTTTTGTTAAGTCCTCTGAGATGACTTCTGATGTGATTTAGGGCTATACAAGAATAAATTGTATTGTATTGTATTATTCCTTTCTCGTTTTTCAGACATTTTATTCCCCATTAGACAACCACATGCGGGCCCATCAATATCCCACACCGGCCCCCTATCCTCATCACTCCCTCTGCCCGTAACCTTGGCATCTTGCACGATTCTCACCTCACATTCCTCTCCCAAATCAAACAAACCACCCAATCCTGTTTCACCTCTGCACCATCGCAAAGTAAGTAAGTAAGTAATGTTTTATTTGTATAGCGCATTTTACAGACCAAGGTCACCCAAAGCGCTTTACAAAGTTCAGAGTTATTGTTCCAATCATTCCACACACGGGAATGACGGAAGCGAGATTAAAAACTTTTTAAAAACATTCTCCACCCGATCTCCATAAAGTCGTTAAAGTCGTTGTCCCTCCACTGGCTCCCTGTGTGTTTTAGAATTGATTTTAAGATTTTATTGATTACTTTTAAAGCTCTCCTAGGTCTGGCACCCAGCTTTATTTATGAACTTTTAACCCTACAAGCCTTAGATCCTCGGGCAGGTCCCTGTTGACTGTTCGGAGGTCGAGGCTCCGGACGAAGGGGGACCAAGCCTTCTCTGTCCGGGCGCCTCAACTTTGGAACGACCTGCCTGAGGAGATAAGGCCAGGACTCCACCAGGCACCGTCAGACGTCCATAATGGCGCGTTCAGACTGGATCATGCGTTGCGTCGGGTTTCAATGCAAAGTCTATGGTGACGCGCGTTGCAGCGTCACAACGCACGGACCTCCCGGCACGCACGGACGGGCTGTTCAGTAGACACGCACGGACTTGGCGGGAAAGTCAAAGGGGAGGAGCAGGAGCGAAAAATCGACGCCCACAGGAGATGGATTCTGCTCATCCTTTCCTTGGGACGTTCGTCCGACAACCAATCAGAGAGCCGCAAAGAGGTCATGGGGACATTAGCGGACTGAGCGAGCAGACTGAAAATACTTGTAAACAGCTAAAACAGGACCCACACCAGGCTTCACCAGAACTCAAACCAGGGTTGACAATGGGGGACTCTGTGCTTGTGAAAATATGTGTTGTCATGCTCCCGTGACCTTATGCAACTGCTTCGAGTGTGTTCGCCGATGCGGAAATACCGTTTAATAATATGAAAAAACGTATGGCGCACCTTTTACGGTGCGCTATACGCAAAACGTAAACGGAGATGAAACGGACACGTTTGGACGGACACGTTTATATATATATCCTCTTTAAAATCACTTCTCAAAACCCACTTTTATCAAACAGCTTTTAACTGTTAGTTTTAAACTTCACGTTTTATTTTACTGTCTGCTTTGTTTTTGTTTTTTCTTTCTTCTTGTGTTTTCTCCATTTGTCTTCCTGTATCCACTGTTTATTATTTTGACTTTTTATTTTTATGTTATAATGTTTTTTTTGTATTATTATGCTAACTTTGCAGTGCTTTTTCAATATTATTTTTGAAAAGTGCTG